CTTTCAGGACTGTAACCATTCCCACCAGCTTTGGAAAGGTGTGGAGGACTCAGTTAAACATTTGTGTGGATTGTCCCTCTGGAGATTTTGCACCATCCTCTCAAGTATGGGATTTTTACTATATTTTATCAAGGGCTCTGAGCTCTCTTTCCAGTCTCCTCCCAGGTCCCCAGAGTCCTGTCAAACCTGCTGCCTGTGCTGCTGGCAAACTCTCCTTTCCTAACACACCAGCATCCTGCCTTCGAGCAACATTCCCAGGAAAATGATGCCACAGACACCTCCAGCTGAGGATTTATCCTCCTCTGTCCAAAGACTTGCTCCCCCACACCTCCCAGTCTGGATTTCTGCAGACCCTTGTCCTGGTGTCCCATGGTCTCTGTGAGGTTGCCATGCAGTGGCAGTAGACACTGCAGATAAATGCCTTGTCTCCTGCTCCTGACCCCACTTTTAGGGTGGCAGAAGTGCCCCCCCAGGCCTGCCCCAGCCACCATCCCCACATCCCCATGGTCCTCCCCCAGAGAAACATTCCCTGGGGGGGAGTGGGCTGCTCTGGAGATGTGCTGTCTTGCCACAGGTTCCTCTTCATCCTGCTGGGCCCCCCAAAAATGAAAGACTACCACGAGGTTGGCAGGGCCATGGCCACTCTGCTGACAGATGAGGTGAGCCTGGCACAGCACCCATGGATGGGATGGGCCTGGAATGGGGACACCAGGACTCCTCTGCAGGCTGCAGTGCAGGGCAGAGGATGGGGTGGTGGCCTCCCTTGCTCAGGATAAGAAAACAAAAGCCTGGCTGGGTTTGCAGGATGTATGGCACCTGTTGCCCTGAAGTGGATGCTTTTGTTTCCTGGTGATGGCTGGAGGCTGGGAGGGAGGTTCCAACAGGGATGTGGTGGCTAAACCCCGGCATCTCCCCACAGATCTTCCAAAGAGTTGCCCGGCAGGCTGAGCACCGAGAGGACCTCATTGCAGGGATTGAGGCATTCCTGGATGAGCTGATTGTGCTTCCTCCTGGCAAATGGGACCCCAGTGCCCGAATTCCTCCACCAAGCCATCTGCCATCTCCACGCAGGAGGTGGGCTGGAGGGAGGGCACCCCAACCCCTGCCAGCCCCTCTGCAAGGTCTTTCAGGGATACCTCTGTTTGTGACACTGGAATTTCCATTTCCATGGTGATGAAGTTGCTGAGGAGCCAGGAGGTCCTCCCAGCCAAGCCCCTCCACAGGCCCCTGCTTTGGTCCCCCCTGCTGTTAGTCCTGCTGTCCCACTTGGCAAATGGCAAATCCCCTGCAAAGGGAACTGATGACAACCCTGGGATTCAGCACTCAGATGTGAAACAACCCAGCTCCTCCACTAAAACCAGTCCTGCAGGGGCTGGCTCCAGAGCTTGCCAGAGAAAATCATGGTTGGGTTGGAAGAAACCTTCAAAGATCATCATCTGCCATTTCTTGTCCTCTTCCTGATCTTTCTCCTCTCCATTGTCAGGGCACACAAACCCTGTTTGCACCCCTGTCCTCTCCCCATTCTCCCTTTACCATCCTAGTGTCCTCTAAATGCAGCTGGGTCCTGAGGATCCCAACCTGAAGCCTGTTGTCTCAGGCTCTGCTCTGCCACAGGACGGCTCTGGACCCACTGGAGCAGCAGCCACATGGTAACGGGGACATGACAGCAGCTGGGGACAGAGCTAGCCCAGGGCACCCACGCTCTGGGGAGGAGCTGGAGAGGACAGGCAGGTCAGTGGCTGAAAGGGTGGTGGGAGGTGCTGGATTTGGGGCCAGGTCACTGTTTCTCATGGGGCCACCATGTCCAAGCCCCTCTGAGCTGCTGTATCCAGGGGAAGGGACAATCCCAGCTCTCTGTGGGGTCTGATCTGAGACCTCCCTCCTACACCCCAGGCTTTTTGGGGGGCTGCTGCGAGACATCCGGAGGAAGGCACCGTGGTACGGCAGTGACTTCTCTGATGCCCTGCACCCTCAGTGCCTCTCAGCAGTGCTCTACATCTACCTGGCGACAGTCACCAATGCCATCACCTTTGGGGGCATGCTGGGGGATGCAACCGCCAACATGCAGGTCAGTGTGGCCATGAGGTGCCCGGTACCAGCCCTGCTCAGCCCAACCCAGAGGGCTGCCCACCTCCTACCAGCATCCCCAGCACATCCCGAGCATTGCCTGAACTCTCCCTCCTTCCCCCGTGGTCCCCAGCAGTGACCCTGTGTTCTTCTGTGCTGCTGGGGGGACAGACCCATAACCCTCCTCCCTGCCATGTGCCTGGCACCCCTCCCCTGCATTTCAGGGGGTGCTGGAGAGCTTCCTGGGCACAGCCTTTGCTGGCTTCATCTTCTGCCTCTTTTCGGGCCAACCCTTGACCATCCTGAGCAGCACCGGCCCCGTGCTTGTCTTCGAGCGCCTCCTCTTCTCCTTCAGCCAGTGAGTTCAGTGTCAGGGATGGATCCACTGTCCCCCAGCTGGGGCACGGGCCACCATCACTCCAGGCAGGTGCCATTTGAGCCACCCTTTCCCCCAGGGATCACAGCTTAGACTACCTGGAGTTCCGCCTCTGGATTGGGCTCTGGGTGGCCTTTTTTGGTGTGGTGCTGGTGGCCACCGAGGCCAGTCACCTGGTGCGGTACTTCACCCGCTTCACCGAGGAAGGCTTCTGTGCACTCATCAGCCTGATATTCATCTACGACTCCCTGAAGAAGATGCTGAGCCTGGCAGATGCCTTCCCCATCAACTGGCAGTACCGGCTGGACAACGTCACCTCCTACAGCTGCACCTGCAACTTGTCCAGCCCCGGTGAGCCCAGCAGCCGTGGGAGGGTGGGGAGCAGGAAGCTGATGCCCCAGGATCCCACTGGGAACCTGTTTCCTGGCTGGATGAGGGAAGGCACTGGAGGAGGAGGCTGTTTAATCCCATCCTCACCTGTCTGACCACATTGCAGTGTTCTCCACATCCCTTCATACAGTCTGTCCACCTACTGCTGCCTCCTGGAACTGCCTTGCAGTTCTTTTTTTGCACCCTTTCAGGATGGGGGATGTCAGAGGCTGGAAAATGGCACCTCTATGGGTTTGCTTTGCCGTGTCTAGCCCAGTCTGTAAATCAGGAGCCATTTTCTGGGGTTTGAAGACATGACCCTGGAAATGACATGACCCACACTGACCCTGGAAATGGGACCTATACCATGTGCCAAAAACATCAGTGCTGGCCAGCCTGGGATCAGTAGTGACTCTGAGTGTCCGGTGCTTTAGCCAGGCCCTTCACAGGGAACATCCCCTCCTTGGTGCTCCCTGGGCATCAGCCAGAGCCTCAGCCTCAGAGGTCCCATGAGCCACCATCCAGCACCCTGAGCCCTCAGGAAGAGCTTAAAGACCCAGCCTGATGGCAGCATCATCCCAGTCATCCTGATGAAACCAGCACCAATCTGAGCCCTGTCCCTTTGCAGGTCCCAGCTCTGCAGGGAATGACACGTCACTGCCCTCCCTCCTGGCCACCTGGCAGGTACTGCCCCTGCTGCCAGGCAGGCAGGTGAGGCGCTGGGGTGGGCCCAAGGCATCCATGTGTGACCCCTCCTCACTGCCGCCTTGTCCCTGCAGCCTCCTGCCACCCCAGCAGGGCTGAGCAGGACCCAGTGCCTGGATCGAGGTGGGCATCTCCTGGGGACCAGCTGCCAGTATGTGCCCGATGTCACCCTCATCTCCTTCCTGCTCTTCGGGGGCACCTTCCTCTTCTGCACCGCACTCAAACGCTTCAGGAGCAGCCGCTACTTGCCTGCGGGGGTGAGCATCTTCCAGCCACCCCAGTGACATGGTCACCTGTCCCACTGGTGTGGGGGTGGCTCTGGGTGCTGCACCCTGAGGCTGCTCCTGAAGTAGCCTCCACCCCTGCCAGCCTGGGCCAAGCCCTGTCCATCTGCAGGTGCGGAAGATGGTGAGCGACTTCGCTGTCATCCTGGCCATCCTCGCCTCCTGTGCTGTCGATGCTGCTCTGGGCCTGGAGACCCCCAAGCTCCTTGTCCCCAATGAGCTGAAGGTGCCAGCAGGGTGGGAACAGCATTGTCAGGGGGTGGGCCTGTGCCCACCACAGTAGCCACCCAGTGCGCTCTCACTGTCCTTCCCATCACTGGCTCCAGCCCTACAGGAGTGCAGGCTGCACCCCAGCAAATGAGAAAGGGTCAAACACAGCTGATCCCATGCACTGTGGATAACCTGTCTCAGTCCTGGACTATACAGATCACACTGGAGCAAGAGACACAAACTCAGCTCCAGGCTTGGGCTTTTTGCCCTGGGTATGGAGTGGGGCTGGCAGTGCCTGAGAGCAGCCAGTGCTCACCACCACCTCCTCAGGCTCACCATCATCACTGCCCAATACCACCTCTTCCACCTCCTGTCACATGCCCAGCTCTTGGCTTGTGGTGTCCAAGAACAAAACCCTGCTCTGGCACAGCCAGAGTGTTATTGTAGGGGGCTGGTGGGTCACTCTGACCAGCAGCATCCCCAGGATGAGTGAGGATGCTCTTCCACTCCTGAGGGGGGGCATCCTTGGGTGCCTGTAGGGCTCCAGCCTGGGCACCTGGGGCTGGTCCCATCACCCAGAGGTGCCACACACCCCACAAGTGGGTGGCAGCTGCCGTGACCCTTCTGCTCTCCACAGCCCACAAACCCAGCACGGGGCTGGGTCATTTTCCCCTTTGGAGCCAACCCCTGGTGGGTCTGCCTGGTGTCTGCAGTGCCTGCTGTCCTGGTCACCATCCTCATTTTCATGGACCAGCAGATCACGGCTGTCATTCTTAACCGCAGGGAGTACAAGCTGCAGGTGAGCAAGGGGACAGGGAGCAGGCAGCACCAGCCAATGAGGAGGATCCAGGTCCTGCCTGGATCCCATGGAAGGTGCCAGGGAGAGCAGAACCCCAAACTGGCCAGGAAAGTGGGAAGATGCCCCCAGCCCTGCTGCCTTTTCCCCTGTAGAAAGGAGCAGGCTTCCACTTGGATCTTCTCTGCGTCTCCCTCCTGATGGTTGTCACCTCTGTCACTGGCCTCCCCTGGTATGTCTCAGCCACTGTCATCTCCCTGGCACACATGGAGAGCCTGAGGAAGGAGAGTGCAACCTCAGCCCCCGGCGAGCACCCTGAGTTCCTGGGCATCAGGTGAACAACAAGCCTGGGCCCCGCCTTGGGGAGCCCTCCACGGCTGTGGAGCTGGGAACAGGGACATGCCCACACTGTCCATCTGACCTGGCTTTGGGGATCTCCCCACAGCTGATCCCCTTCATTGTGGCCATCAAAAGTGCAAAGATGGGACCAGGAGGGCAGGAAGGGGGGTGGGCTCCCAAGGGACCCCAGGCACCTGTGACACCTGAGCTGCCACCCACAGGGAGCAGAGGCTGACAGGCCTGGTTGTCTTCATCCTGATGGGAGTCTCCATCTTCATGGCCCCCGTGCTCAAGGTAGGAAGCCTGGCTGGGGTGGCCTCTTTTCCTGTGCAGGCATACCCTTCAAGGCTGGAGATTCTTCACCCTGCCCCATGGAAGCAGCACAGGAATCCTGTCTGGCAGGAGCCTGCACTGTGTGGTTATGGGCTGCACCAAGGGTTTGTCTCCAGTGCCATGGGAGGGCTGGCACACAAGGCACTGTGGCCCCATGTCACCTGTCCCATGTGTGTATCAGGGTCCTTGTGCTCCCCAAACACACCTCACCACTACCTCTCCACACTGCCACGTGGATGACCTGGCTGCTGCTGGCTTTCACCTGCTGCCACTGCCATGCTAGGAAAAACTCTTCCAGTGGCCCTGGATTACCTGTGGGCAGACAGGAGGTCCCTTTTCCTTGACCTCTTGACTCACCTCTGAGGCTGATCTCACACAGCCTTTGATCTGGGGGCCTCCCAGCAGCCTCACCTCCAAACTGGATTTGATGGAAGAACTGTTAGATGGATGAGGAATTGGTTGGATGGTCATGTCCAGAGATTTACAGACAGTAGCCAAGTGTCCAAATGGCAACGAGTAACAAGTGGTGTCCTCCAAGTGTTCCTACTGGACAAACACTATATAGTATCTTCATCAAAGACATAGCAGGATGGAGAACATTTGCAGATGGCACCAAGGTGAGGTGCAGTGACACACCTGGGGGATGAGATGCCATCCAAAGGGACCACAAAGGCTCATGTGAACCTCAAGTGGTTCAATAGGGTCAGGCTGGGCTGTTGGGAATAAAGGAAGCAAAGACTGTGGACACACATGCAGGGTTTTACATTAGAGGACACTGAGCAGGCACAGACCCCCAGAGAACAGCCCCATGGATCCCCCAGGGAACAGCCCCACTGATCCCCCAGAGAACAGCCCCACTGATCCCCCAGGGAACAGCCCCACTGATCCCCCAGGGAACAGCCCCACGGATCCCCCAGGGAACAGCCCCACGGATCCCCCAGGGAACAGCCCTGCTGATTCCTCCACCCCACTGTCTTGCAGCACATCCCAATGCCGGTGCTGTATGGGGTGTTCCTGCACATGGGGGTGACGGCGCTGAACAGCATCCAGGTGAGGGAGGGCTGCACTGGGAGGGGGTGCTGCTGGGGAGGAGGGGGTTTGCTCAGCAACAGCTGCTACTGCACAGCAGAGCCTGGATTTTAGCTCTCTGTGGTGTACAGCCTGGCACGGAGCTGTCATCCACCGGGACAAGGAGGAAAAGAGGGACCTTTTTAGAGCAAAGGAAAGGGAAAAGGAGGGCTCTGGGATGCTGAGAAGCAGGAGGAACTTGTGCAGTGATGGATCAGGTGGTTTGGGAGAAGTGGGACCAGCGGATAACACAGAATTAATCTCAAAGCCACAGGGACTTCCTCACCTGGGAGCTGCAGGCACAGCTGAGACATGACAGTCCTTTGGTTCTGGTATTGCTGCCCATGTGCCAGTTCTGTTCTTCCAAGAAACCAATGGAGAGGGAAAAAAATCCCTATTCCAGAATTATCTACAGCACTTTTTCCTCTAAATAGTACCGTTTCCTTGCAATTACCCTGCTCTAGATGACAGGCTGGGAAACTCCCACCCTCCCTCTGCTTGGGAAACCCAGAGCTGTGCTCTGGAGGAGGCTGCAGAAGTTTCCTGTGAATTGAGAGGGACCAAGGGGTGTTTTCTCTTCATTAACCCTATAAAGGCAGCTAAGAGTCCTTTCCAGAGGTCTGCCTGGAAAGCACTCCCCTGGCCTGGGGTGACAGTGGCACCAGGACCCCTGGTCTTGCAGACAAACTCACTGGCCCAGGCATCAGCTGGGGGTCAGCACAGGGGAGGGCAGGAGGGCTGAAGTGCAGAAACGATGGTGAAACCCCATCCTGCTGGCCCTGCTCTCAACAGGGAGGTGGGTGAGAGCTGCCCAGCAGCTGGACAGGTGTGACCCACCTGCCACGCTCTCGCTACAGCTCATGGACCGTGTGAGGCTGCTCCTGATGCCAGCCAAGCACCAGCCAGACCTCGCCTACCTCCGCCACGTGCCCCTGCGCCGCGTGCACCTTTTCACCATCATCCAGCTGCTCTGCCTGGCCCTGCTCTGGCTTCTCAAGTCCACCGTGGCCGCTATTATTTTCCCAGTGATGGTATGACACCCCTTGGCACTGCTTTGCTGCCGGGCTGGGTGCTGCCCACCCGGGCCCCGGCATTAACCTTTGGGAGGGGACATGAGCGCTGGCGGGTGGTGCCTGGGGGTGCTTTGCCAGCAGCCGTCACCCCCCGGTCTGGGCCCGCGGGGCTGTCACCAGAGGCTGAATGTCACTGCTGGGCAAGTTTGGTCCCCTAGGGCCAGGTGGGTGACAGACCACCACCCTGGCATCTCCTGGGGTGACAGAGGGATGTGGCAGAGAGATGCTGCCTGTTCCCCGGCCCCAGCGCTGCTGACCCGCGCCTGGCCCGGCCGCAGCTGCTGG